CCCCAAAACCCCAAAACCCCAAAACCCCAGGTTAACGAAGGCAGATTGAAAGCAAATAGAGATTTTAGTCGGGAAGGACAGGCATTTGTGAAGGGGGTAAGTGCTGTAGGTTTGTCAAAGTCTCCATCAACTTATCCCTCTCCTTCAGCTCTTTAACATTCTCTCTATAATTCTTCTCAAGAGCAAGTCTAGCTTTCTCAGCTTCTAGTTGAACTCTTTGAGAATATTTCTGTTCCTTCTGAATTAATGCATCTTGTTTGGTCTGTAGGATTCTTTTCTGCCTCTGCATCGTGATCTCAATATCTTTCTCCTTCCATTTACGCTTTTGTTGTTTCAGCTCGATCTCTTGGGAGAGGAGATGGCGTTGGGTCTATAGGGTTACTGGAAGGCTTACTTGGACATTTTGCTCATTTCGTTTCATCTTTTTGAGAAGACGGTCAACTTTTATACTACGAGTGTATTCTTCTTGTTTCTTGTTGTTGTCGATTTTGCTAGTTCTTTTGGAGGTTTGTTGTTTCATTCTTTCGGATTGAAGTTTTTTATCTAGGAGTTAGGAGGTGTAGTACTTTTTCTGATTTTGTCAATTTTCTTGTTAACTTTTATCTGAGCTTCAATAGAATTAAAGTAGTTTTTCTCATTTGTTATATAACTTTGTGTCTATACCCAAATTGATACCAATTATTTTTCTCAAAAAATATTTTCTCAAATTATCTATTTCTTCTCTAACTTTTTTAAATACCTTAAATTTATCATAATGCTCTATTGCTCTCTTATTTTCACTCCTTGCTCTCTCCTTAACAGATTCTTTATTTATACCTCTTCTAACCCCACTAATTCCAAACTTCACATCAAAAAACTTGAGTGCCTTATCCCTAAACTCAGTTTCCTTATTGGCCATTTCCTTCCTCTTATTCATTACTTTTTCCTTCTTAGCCATATACCGCTGCCTCTGTTTTTCAAGGTTTTCTTTTATGTCAATATCTATTTTTTTCTTAAGGATTTCATAAGCTCTCATTCTTTCCTCATGGACTTCCTCGTTCTCCTTGCGTTTATGCTCTATTTCTTGTTGGATTCTATTTGTAGTTGAGTAATCTTTGTTCTCTCTTTTCGTTCTCTTTGGCTATTGATTCGATTACTATAAATGAGGTGAGTAACCAATGAAGAGAAGGGTTTGAGTGAGTACCAAGCAGTATATTTAGAAAGGGTTTAAGCCATACTTTAGATGAATTAAAGATATCATCTGAGGAATAGAAGAGAGGTGTGATGGCTTACCTTTATTTATTCTTATTTTTCATCTTTAAGTCTACTGCTTTAAATCTAGAATTAAGAGATCAGTAAGAATAAAGATTAGATAAAGGTTACGTGGATGCAATTTTCTGAATCTTCTTTAGTCCTTCTTGATCTTCTTTAATGAGTCTTTGTGATCTAAGCAGCCTTGCTTTCTGTGGTGATGGCTTCTTTAAAGTGCCCCTTACATCACTCCTAATTCTAGCCTACACGTTACCACAAACCTACGCTCTTCGAAGTCTTCGGAGTCCCCAGTACACGAGCAGTTTTGATAAATGTGGCCGAGCCTCTCCTAGTATGAGCGATATCCTGAATCAAATTTTGGCTGCTCTTGGTGCTTCTGTCTCAAACAGACATCCTGAAGCCAGCAGCATTTTTGGCTTTGACGAATCCGTATCTCCTCCGAGACTTCTTAGGGTTGGCTTTCAAGTACTGCAGGAAGTCAGCGAATTTAATTTTGTTTCGCTCTTCTAGAACTTTGTTAATAAGTTCAACTATGGATTAAAGAAGCAATACTCAGACGAGTGCGGATGTGCTTGGCAAGTTTGTCTTGAATTTCTTGATCAATTTTCTTATTTGCCTACAGCTTGAGTATATATTTGGGACACTTGAGAACCTAAAAGATAATCTCAAAATTATCTTGATAATTTACCTTTTGAAGTAATTTGCATAGGATCGATTTCTTCAGGTAAAACTCCTAAATTATTTACAAGCCTGAAGCAATCTTGGAGAATCTATTTTTGAGATTAATTATGTACCTAATTCAAGTTCGACTTCATCGATATTATGATGGTTCCTAAATACAATCGTAATCTCCTTCAACTGATGAGTCCTTACACTGGAGGCATGTCGTTGATCCGCACTACCTTGGTTGGGTCTTCAGTTGACATTTTATTTCAATATTATTTCAATAATTTTCATTGTAAAAGGGGTTTTGGGGTTTTGGGGTTTTGGGGTTTTGGGG